ACAAATTCACAGCCTGATGAACTAACATAAATAATCCAAAAGTGTTATTTTCTGGAGTGACATCTGAGGCATACACAGCTGTAATCTACCATAATATTTTTGTACAAAGTACATGCTACAGTTTGTGGGTTGATGTATCAAGATACATTATCAATAGTTGCATAAATGTCTATGTACAGTAAATTTACTTCACAAAAGGGAGAATTATTTCATAGTTAGCACATGACCATAGTTAGGACATCATTTGCAGCAGCCAAACATAAACTTAACATGGCCTTCCCATTTATTTGTGGAAAGATGTTGTTTCTGTTTTAATTTCAGTAATATTACGCCATGATGATCATACTGTTAATCACACAGCCTCCTCTGCCCATACATTCTCTGTCCTCTATCTGACCTCTGCAGCAGCAGAACATGAACCAAACAGGAATTCCTTCATACTTTAAGGAACCTATTGTGTTGAACAACACAGGTCTGCAGTCAAGTGATGGATAGAAAATCCATACAAATCCTACTCTATCTGCTCAGCCACACCCCAATCCTTCTGTCACTGCCTATTAATTTATAATCCTGTATTTACAATATCTGATTCTGTGTCTGTATTTACAAAAACAACATGGTTACACTGTAATAGACAATAGATAAAACTATTCGTAGCTATATTTTGTTCAGCAGTCCAAGGACTCACATCAACACCAGGTAAAGTGTCACCCCTTCACCTAAATCTACATCTGCAGCAGCAGAAAAAGAATCTGGTTTGAAGTCTCACAATATTTAACACAAGGCATTGTGCTTACCAACAATATCATGATCATATTGTTATTTCCAATAGAACCCATAGGCCCAACAAGCTGAATCAGTGACAACAATAGAAGACACTCAATGTCTATGTATTTACAATCCTGTATTTACAATATCTGTGTCTGTATTTGCATTTCAGTCCAACAAAACAAATATGGTTACACTGCTATTAGACGCTACAATATCAAGATAATAGACAATGATATTCTTAGCTATTTTTTCATCTTCAGCAAATCAAGAATTCTACACGAATTAGCAAGTGTACTAATTTAATAGTCTAACAGTAAATACTTGTGATTTGTTGTATCGTAAATCTCTGGCATTTTCATTATGTACAAGAACAGGAATGTAAACATGTTTGGGGTTTTGATACAACAAAAGAGTCACAAGCTCAAAAGAAGAAAAAAGCTTTATGTTAGTACACTTGTGTAAATTACATGCCAAAATCTTGTTGGTACAATGTTTATTGAGCATCCATGCATTCAAAAACTTGTGATGTTGTTTTCCCTCTCAAACCTTTGACTGGCATGTACATGCTATTGTTTTAAGCTCATTATCTATACATATACATTTTGGCATGGCAACAAAATTTCTATATACAAGTATTAAGGTAATTGAAAGCATATATTTTTGTCTTTGTATTATTAGCACATGACAAATTCCTGGTGATGACAATGATTTATACACAAAAGATGACAATAAATTATATACAAAAGATGAGGTGTTTCTGCATCAACATAATATGAATTTTCTGTTTTTCAACATAGGTGCTGTCTTCAGTTCAGTGTAGGCATATATACCATCACAATCATGTTTAGTTACTCATCTCCTCCATCTCTACCATCTTCATCAGCAGCAGCAGAATAAGAACCTGGCATGAACTCCAAACAATGTTACACAATCATGATAGTTTTGTTATTTCCATTACAGAACCTCTGTCCCCACAATCTACCTCAACAATGTCCACAGCAGCAGAAGAAGCCATTTCCAGGTTCATTTATTTACACTCATAGCATAACAACACAGATACACTAATATGTAGAAGGTTTAGTTGTTTCATATGATATTGAGAAGATATACTTTGTCTGGTTTATGTACAAAGATATTCTCAGTTCAGTCTTGTTCCTCTTCATTTACCATGATAGACAGCTTAAATATATATCAGCAGGCTAAGAAATCAGATAAAATACAATAATCTATCAAAAATACAACATATCATAAACATGTTTTGTGTTTTATTCCAGGATACTGGGCTATTTATTATGTACAAATATAGGACAGCTAAATGTTTGACAGTAACATAATGGTAACTTCTTGTTCAGGAAATAATGTGTCAAAATGTTTCTATAACATGTGCACTAATTATCTTATGAGCAAAACAGGCATATAAACAAAGTATGAAGAATTTTTGCTATTCTTATAGCTTTGGAGAAGTATTTACATGGTTCTATTGGTTAAATGATTTGGGCACATTATCAATATCACATTTCAGTATAATTTCTTTGTACAGTAATTTTATCTCATGGTGTTTCATGGGAAGCATAATGTTTGTTTGTTTGTAAAATCGGTGAATTCTGAAAATAACACTGATTTTGTACAGAGATTAATATTTTCTACAGCAGCAGAACAAGAATCTGACATGCATTTCATTATCACTTAAGGAAGGTATTGTGTTAAACAACACAAGCGCTCTCTTCAGTCCAGTAATGGATAAACAATGTACAATAAAAACATAATCATTCTATTTCACCGTCTTCACTACTCGCAACCTCACTACAAATGACCTCTGCAGCTGCGGAACAAGCCTCGCAATGTCTATGTATTTACACAATCCTATATTTACAATATCTGTGTCTGTATTTACAATCCAACTGAACAACATGGTTACAGGTTACACTATTGTTACAGCTATTGAATAGGTATTTACAGACCACCACCATATAGCTGGAATATTGCTGGGTGCGACATGAAAGTGAGTGAGTTTAATTTTACATCTGATTTTGATGAAACTATCCACCATTGAATTCATGACTAAATACTAAAATTTAAAATGAATTATGTACAAAATCATTTAACACATGTCCATAGCCTCTGCACCATCTTTCCTCACACTCATTTCAAACTTCTGCAGCAGCAGACTGTGATCTCTTTAACTGTTTCATCATCATCAAGAAACGCTGATTCAACAGTAAAACACTACTCTATCAATGTCAACTATGCAAATGCTTGGTATCAAAATGAACATAGAGAACATATTTACAGTTCATTAAATCTGCTTCACATCTCCTGCAGCAGCAGCAGATTGTGATTCCTTAACTGTTTCATCATCAAGAAACGCTGATTCAACAGTCCAACACTACTCTATGAAGATGAACATAGAGAACATTGTTACAGTTCTCTAAATTTGCTTAACATCTTCTGCAGCAGCAGCAGATTATGATCTCCTCAACTGTTTCATCATCAAGAAACGCTGATTCAACAGTCCAACACTACTCTATGAAGATGAACATAGAGAACATTGTTACAGTTCTTTATATCTGCTTCACATCTCCTGCAGCAGCAGCAGATTGTGATCTCCTCAACTGTTTTCATCATCAAGAAACACTGATTCAACAGTCCAACACTACTCTATCAAGATGAACATAGAGAACATTGTTACAGTTCTTTATATCTGCTTCACATCTCCTGCAGCAGCAGCAGATTATGATCTCCTCAACTGTTTCATCATCAAGAAACACTGATTCAACAGTCCAACACTACTCTATCAAGATGAACATAGAGAACATTGTTACAGTTCTCTAAATTTGCTTAACATCTTCTGCAGCAGCAGAATAAGGTTCTGTGTCGATTACAATTTCTGTGTATAAGGTTTTATGGGAGGTTGTATGTGAACATTTTAAGGCAACAAGTCCAGTAATGGACAAACAAATGTACACTAACATCATAAACATTCTATTTCACTGTCTCCACTACCCTGCAACCTCATTATCAATGACCTCTGCAGCAGCAGAACAAGCCTCGCAATGTCTATGTATTTACACAATCCTATATTTACAATATCTGTGTCTGTATTTACAATCCAACTGAACAACATGGTTACAGGTTACACTATTGTTACAGCTATTGAATAGGTATTTACAGACCACCACCATATAGCTGGAATATTGCTGGGTGCGACATGAAATTGTGAGTGAGTTTAATTTTACATCTGATTTTGATGAAACTATCCACCATTGAATTCATGACTAAATACTATTATTTAAAATGAATTATGTACAAAATCATTTAACACATGTACATAGCTTCTGCACCATCTTTCCTCACACCCATTTCAAACTTCTGCAGCAGCAGACTGTGATCTCTTTAACTGTTTCATCATCATCATCAAGAAACGCTGATTCAACAGTAAAACACTACTCTATCAATGTCAACTATGCAAATGCTTGGTATAAAAATGAACATAGAGAACATATTTACAGTTCTTTAAATCTGCTTCACATCTCCTGCAGCAGCAGATTGTGATCTCCTTAACTGTTTCATCATCAAGAAAACTGATTCAACAGTCCAACACTACTCTATCAAGATGAACATAGAGAACATATTCACAGTTCTTTAAATCTGCTTCACATCTCCTGCAGCAGCAGCAGATTATGATCTCCTTAACTGTTTCATCATCAAGAAAAACTGATTCAACAGTCCAACACTACTCTATCAAGATGAACATAGAGAACATTGTTACAGTCCTCTAAATTTGCTTAACATCTTCTGCAGCAGCAGAATAAGGTTCTGTGTCGATTACAATTTCTGTGTATAAGGTTTTCTGGGAGGTTGTATGTGAACATTTTCAAGCAACAAGTCCAGTAATGGATAAACAAATGTACACTAACATCATAAACATTCTATTTCATTGTCTCCACTGGCCCTAACCTCATTATCAATGACCTCTGCAGCAGCAGAACAAGCCTCACAATGTCTGTGTATTTACACAATCCTATATTACAATATCTGTGTCTGTATGTACAATCTAAACAAACAACATGGTTACACTGCTATTGAGTAAGGACACTGTTCAGTTTATGGACAAGGATATTCTGAGCTACATTTTGTTGCTGTTCAGCAGACATACAAGAGCTCTTTGTGAGTGTACTTGTCAAAGATTAAACATACATATTTTACAGTATTGAACAATGGAGTATTTTTGTGTTGTTAATTAATGTTTCCGTTAAGTACAAGAAAGGAACAGCTCACACATTTCTTGTTTTCATTCATAACATCATCTCTCATTCAAAAAGGACAAACAACCTCATGGTAGTTTACGATATTTTAAAATCTTGTGCATTAATGATCTTATAAGCGCGAGCACATGCACACACACATACATTCCTTCAATCTGAATGTACAGGTGACAGTTTGTGGGCTGTTTCATTTATAAACATAACAAATATTTTCATGACAAATAAACATGTTTTGATATCTTTTCTATATAAACACATGATAAAATACTGGTGATGACACTGACTTAAAATCAAGAGATCTGGTTTATCTGCAGCAGCAGAATATGAATCTGGCATGAGTTTCCTCAATATTTATGGCAAAGTATTGTGTTTTTAGGACATAACTGATATTGGGAGTCTAGTGAAGAGTATATAATACCCTCACTTTTTACATAATGTTAATTGTCTCTCCTATACCTATCATCTACATCTGCAGCAGCAGAATAAGAATCTGGTTTGAACTCTCACATTACTTAACACAAGGCATTGTGCTTACCGACAATATTATGATACTATCATAGTTATATATATTGTTATTTCTAATAGAACCCACAGGTCCCAACAAGCTAAATCAATGACTGCTAAAACTGCAGAGCAAGACTCTCACTGTCTTTATATTTACAATCCTGTATTTACAATACCTGTATATGTGTTTGTATTTACAGTCCAACAAAACAACATGGTTACAATGCTATTTAGAAACTACATTTTCTGGATATTATACATAGATATTAATAGCTACTAATTCATAAAAAGTCAAACATAATTGTTATACTTTTATTCTATACTTGTATTTTGGTGGATTCATATATGAATCCCTGATATTTTCATTATGTTCAAGAAAAGGAAAGCCAACACATTTTTAAACATAAAGTATATGTCTTATGCTCAAACGGAGGAAAAGAGTTTATGTTAGTTTACTTATATAAAAACAGTATGTTAATTATTTGTGCATACCTCATCTTTGAGCATTCATGTATAGAGGCGAAAAAGAAGTGTGATGTTTTTTCCTCCTTTCAAACCTTTGAAGAAGTACATAGTGACTGAACCCTGAGTCTAATTATTTTTTACTTTTTTTTCTCCTATTAGAAGCTTTTTGTGTATAAGGTATTATGGGAGTTGTATGTGAACATTTTCAAGCAACAACCACCATACTTTGATTATTTCCATAAACTCTAAACCAAACACTTTTTCATATAACACGTGACTTCTCATTCACTAAGACCTGTCTATTTAATTCATTTAAAAATTCTTTTTGGTGAGTCAGATTAAGAATCATTTGAAATTTACAATTATGTATATTTACATGTTTAACATGTATCAAATGAAACTGTTTAATGTAAAGTCAAGTACACATGATAATAATCACATTCACCGTATACTGACCATGTTCAATAGCCAGTCTACAACAATCAAAGGAAATGTTCAAACAAATATCTACAATTTCATTTTCTTTCGAAATGATTTAGAAATCATAAACAGATGCTATGAAACTGATAATCAACATCTAAAATATTTCACAGAATCCTTTTTCTGAATTAACAAAGCAAGGAGAAAACAAAACTGAATTTGCAATTGCATCTATTGGCCAAATTCAGGGATCAAGTGTTGATTAATGAAGTCCAGACATTTTGTTCACAAGAATATCAGTAATTACTTTAGAAGACCAACAGTTATTTCCGAAATTGATCAAGTCCATTCAGCTCCCTCAAATACATTTACATTTGGTTAAAGGAATAGATCATTCCTACTACCTACAAAAGGTAAGAATGATTAATATGTTTGAGCAAGTATGCCTTAAAAAATGCTGAATGTAATTTTCATGGATAAAACCATTGACACAACCAGATATTCTCAGGAAAAACTATATACAAATGCTTTACAACTTTCATAAGGCTTAATTGTGTTTGTTGTTATGTACATGGCTAAATTATAAATATAGGTATTGTGGTTCATCTTGTTTTCACATATATCAGTATGTTATTAATCTGCATCGCATAATGCGTCAAAAGAACATAAGTCATTAGGGGACTTGCTTACAATGGACTCGGGTGGGGCAGTACTCATCATTTTGAAAACACCAGGTGTTTTATAGTTAGTTATGAAAATGCTCATGACAATGTCGGAATTGTAAAACCAACTCTGCTTTTCTCAGACATTTGTTATGGATATGGAAAGGTCTTTGTTGCTTTCCTTTCCATTCTCTTGGATCATAATTTGCTATTTGATGGGATCTCCTATCACTTATGAAAATAGTTTTATCATATTTGTATGCACTACTTTTAAAACATATACATATTGCCAATCGCAAAGAAAATAACAGACATAATAGCTTGATATTTTCACCGATATCATCAACCATGCCTCAAACAGGAATAAGATAAGATTTAACCAAATAAAAAGACATATACACTGAAATCTAATGTTACATAGTTACAAGAGACATACACTTTAAAATGCACAACACATCTTACAATTTAGCAATGATAACTACATCATGTCACTTAGTTCAAAAACTACATCAACACATTCTGCAACGAAACGAATCATAACAAACAATATTGGAGAATATTGTATTACATCATTACCGATAATGTGATACTGTGGTATAAAGAGAAAGATGGTTGGTTGTCTCTGTACTTCCTTTCTGATACCAAACACATTGTAAAATGCAGGTATTTCAACAATTCCGAATGTTCTCTTGTAACATATTTACTTTATGTAAACACACAGAGCTGATGTCAACATAGCAAGGCTGAACAATAAACCACGAATGAAACACTTCTTTTGTCAGGGCAGTTGTCGGTCAACTAGTACCCCACTGCTGTGTGTTCCAGCTTAGACAGCAGTACCTGCAGAAGAGCCAGTTGCCCCAAGATCCGCCTCTGTCACACCCCTGGGCAGCTAGCTCCTCTTCAACTCTTTTCAAGTAGCCAGGGTCTGGGTAGCCATAACTGTATTAACCAAACATGAACAAATAAAATGTGAGCAATAAAATATATGTTTATTATACATATGGCTTTGATAAGTGGGTTAATGAAATATATACAAATATATATAAAGGGCTATATTTAATGATTTCCTGCTTGCAAAAGGAGTGTTGAGACAACACAATCACATGCATAATACTAACATCATTGTTGATGTGGGGCGGTGGGGTAGCCTAATGGTTAAAGCGTTGGCTCGTCACGCCGAAGACCCGGGTTCGAATCCCCACATGGGTAGTATGTGTGAAGCTCATTTCTGCTGTCCCCGCCATGATGTTACTGGAATATTGCTGAAAGCAGCTTAAAACCAAAGTCAGTCAGTCAGTCATTGTTGATCTAATATCTAATGAAGTTATTGTCATTCATTTTCATGTTGACCCTTCTCAAACACTTAATGGCTGCAGTAAATTAGAAAGTATACATAATACAGTGTGTGGTCATATTCATTTAAAGAACAGAATCAATATCAATCCCTCCTCAGACCTATCTCCTACATTAAAACTTTTCTAATATTACTCTTGTAAAATATGTATGACAATTTCGATAATATATCTACATGTCTATCTGAGGGAGTGCAGATGAGTGAGAAGTGTATAATGCTAAGTCAGCAAATCCAAGCTACATAATGTTGGTCTGTAAGTAACTAAGTCTAGACCAGCAAACCAATAACTGACAGAAATAAGCAAAATGGGCACCTGGTGTACTTTTTGTACAATGACAAGTAATTAGCTATGAGTACATGTTCTAGTGATATAAATTCCAATGACAGAGATCACTTCCATTATGTCAAATTTGATGGTGGAAGAAAGATGCAATAAGATGACTTACTTTGTTGGACCACCACTTCTATTTGTCTTGTGATGTATTTTATTCCATGTGATGCAGCTTTCCTTGCCCATAGTAACAGACCTGCCAATAGTGAATGTCAGACGTCTTTTCCAAGCCACGGCCAGCAGAGCCAGGACCTTCTGTCCTTCAGCATGGTTTGGTAGGTAAGCTATACGTGTGATGCCACTATACCACTTCCCAGGATCTGGATGTTCTTCCTGAAGGAACATAAATCAGTTTTTAAACATTTAACATATTTCAATATTTAACCTCCAGGTTAAATAGAAAAATAACATTCCTCATCTGGTGATATTTCTGTATTCCTTCATAAAGATTTACAACTACAAACTATGGCAGTAAGAAATATCTATAACATGTTTGCACATAATGTGGCTGTGTAACTGAGTAATGTGACAGCTTGTACAAACTTCTTACATACATACTACTTAACTCAGAGCCAAGATGTTTCCCACCTGACTTATAAACCAACAGAATATCAGTTACGCTGGTTATAAATTATATTACTTTTATTATTATAATTATTATTAATAAGTGGCCAAAAAGTATGGGTTGGCAAATGTTTGTTTCCTCAAAAATATGATTCACAGTGAACAGTAGGTATTCTGACAGATGTTCCCTAAGCACAGAGAGGGAAAAATAACATAGCCAAACGCAACAATGTCAGGCTGGCGCGAGAAATTGGTAAAACAGGTTTTAAGCCTGCAGAACGTAATGCACATGCCTATGTGGTGTATAAATGTGATCACTGCACAGCATGGTAACACAGCTGATAAAAGTACAAAAAAGACTGACACATGAGGAAAGAGAGCGAGCCATTTGTATGACTGAAATAGGGAAAACATAGGTGCAGATTGCCAGAAGGTTCGGGTGTACACCACTGACGGTATCCAGGCTTCTGCAATGTTAACGGCAGATGGGAAGGACTGAGGACAGGCCGACAACAGGAAGACCACTGATTACAACCCCACAGGAGGCCCTGATGGAGGAGTAGCAAAGGATTCCACCAAACATCTTCAGACGTCTGACGATGAGACAACTTACGGCATGCACTGAGGCACTTGGAGGTCATATGTGGTATTAAGACTGTAATTGTTTCTTTACATTGTTCATTTTCCCACCAATGTTCAACTATGCCTGAAACGTGTTGTCAGTACCTTGTTGAAAATGTCACTGAATGGTCATCTGTCAATTTTCCATATGATATTATGCTTGAACCCCATCTTGTTTTGTGTCTTTTATTCACCAAACTGGACCACTTTCTTTTGCCGTCTAGTTTATATTTGTGTGTTATTAGAAAATTATATGAAATAACAATACCTTTTTTCAATCAATTGTTGTTTAATTTTTTTTATTTTAAAACATCAGAGGTTTGAAAGTCCAAATCTGGGACATTACTAATAAGGTCTTTATGGGACAAACTTATACCTTCCAAAGATGTACGAAAAAATAATTAATGTCTAAAACAATGATCAGTATCTGGGATAGGTTTATAATCTTGATTAAAATATGATCAGGTTTTTATTCTACTTGTATGCAGATAGTGGAATCTAAATTTCATTGAGTTGCTACACATTTTCAAATTACTGGATCCTAGTGGCTTTTCTAAATATATCCCATATGTTTTTCACAAGGGCTTTTTTCAAATATTTTTAAACTATCAGTATAAATTATACATTCATAACATATATCAAGTCTCACATTACGCACTGACATTCAAAATGCTACTGTCCAGAGTATTGACAGCCTCCAAAAGCAGTGTTCATTCAAGCATTTCTAAAACGTGAGCCCATGGCCCACCAGCGCTCAGTTGTGTGGGTCATTGAGAAAATATTGTGGGCCATGTCAAATTGCTTTCTAGCCATACACTACTTGTGACTAGTAATAGTTCACTTCCTTTTGAAACTTTTAATCCAGGTGAGGTCAACAAGAGAAACCAATGATGTAACTTCAGTTTCAACTTGAGTTGCCAAGCAAAACAAACTTGTGATGCGTTTCAGATTTACATTTATGGATGCTCTGACACAACTCGCCCGTACCTGTACAGTGTGCCATGTTAATATTAGTGCATGAATGGCACAAGGGCGCGGCCAAGAATGAACATTGCAAAAGTATCAATCCTGCTTCATGGCGGCACTGAGGAAGAAAGTAAATTCTTTTCTCCTAGTCTTCAGGCAGGCCAGCAAACAAAATTTGGATTATCTGTATCGACGCGTCCGATTTTTAATCACAACTGGAGTGCCAAAGTTCATCAGGATTAATTTGAAACAACCTGCTATGATGTTAAGTTGATTCAAGCAGCCATTCTGACACCATGTACCATGTTGATGATAAGGTATGGATGTGAATGTTTCCTTCGGGTGGGCATTCTTACTTGGAACACTGATTATCTGATATCGAAGTCCATAGGTGAGTGAGTGAGTGAGTTTAGTTTTAGTTTTAGGCCGCACTCAGCAATATTCCAGCTATAAATAATCAAGTCTAGACCAGACAATCCAGTGATGAACAGCATGAGCATCGATCAGCGCAACTGGGAGCCGATGACATGTGCCTGACCACCTGATCCTGTTAGTCGCCTCTTACGACAAGTATGGGTTTACTGAAGGCTCATTCTAACACGGACCTCCATGGGTCGAAGTCCATAGGTCTCACTGAAGACTGTTTATCCACTGTAATGATCTCATTATACAAGAAAGACTGATTAAGGTTGAATGGATAAAGTAGAGATGGAAGTTAATCAAGTGTCAGAAGATCAAATGAAGTATTCCTTTTCTGTATTTTAAATGGTAGGAGGACATGCCTTAGGGTCTAACTATAATAAGAGACTGAGGGAACATCCAAGAATGTATCATTGGTAGGGATCAGTGAAAGTGATGATTATCTTCAATGAGGCAAGGCTTCCATCTCGATGCAGATTCTGATACAATCAAGGTGAATGAAAATCATGCGAGGAAAAAGTCCCTTGCATCTTGTACAAACTATTGTCTTGTGTGAGCTGGATGTCGTAACTGCTGTCCATATCTTTATCTTTCATGTAGAGTTTTAGAGTTTGGGTATCTTTCAGGTGGAAATCCGATTATCAGTCAGAGCAAGTCACACTCTCTGCATGTGCTTCTGGTGACAGTCAATAATTAGGATAACATATGATAGGATAACTTAACAAATTATAAAATCTATCCCTTAACACTAGGAACCAATCTGTATCCATTTAAGTCCAAGACATTTCAACCCAGCTGAACATTAGAGTGATGTCACGAGAGGTTTATAAGAGTTTGAAAGGATTCAACAACATGCTTAAAGAGGTGTCCAAATTTTTACTAGTATTTAACTTTCAACATTCATAAAAACAAAATGTCTTTTTTATAGAGATTCTTGTTTTATGTCTCTTTTAGCCCTTCATGAAACAAACTGACAATGGGGAAATATGATCGGGCTAAAACTATGGAAAGTATCACTAAACTTCAAAGATACACAAAAGTTACCTTATTTTTGCTTTGACCACCAATGAAACTGTATGTAATTTGTATGGTTCCACATTTGTCATATCCAGGCAAACTCAACCAAGACTCAAAGACTTTCATTTGTCCTGGAGGCATGTTTCCGGTGATCACTCCACACACAGTCTTACAGGTGGGGCACATCTTCTTGTGTTTGAATACAGCATCAATGCACTCTGTACAGAATGTATGTCCACACTTAAGTGTCTTTGGATTAACAATGGCATTGAGACAGATGACACATTCCTCCCCTCCTGAGGCTTCTGTCTTCTGGTTGTCTGCTGAACCCTTACCATATCCACATGATGTCAGGTATTGCTGTAGGATCTGTTTCAAGTCATCTACAACATGCTGCTGTTGTTCTACAATATGCACATGTAATGTCGACTGTGACTTGTGCCGTGTTAAGTCACGTAGCCTGTCAACCATTGTTTCGATGAACAACTGAAGTTTATTTTTTGAAGAACCACCTGGAAAAAAATCAAACAGAATCTTATGAAGCAGCATATAATGTTTTCAGTGATAAGTGGCAAGAGAAGAATGTGAACTAATATTAGAGTGACAAATGTAGATGATAAGAGTATGGTGCAAAAACTAAATATACCGCTACAGCCCGTTTGATTTGAAACCGATGAATTGCTCACCAACACAAAATCTAATAAATGCAACAACTCCACATATTGCACAGTCACATGAATCGACAGACCAACTCTGATGATTTGGCATGAAATGCTGGAATGATCTAGAACTCTGGATTAATAACTATTTACCACGAAAAATAAACATCACAAAATATTTGATTTGGTTTGATACATTGCATAATGATGTATTACTAAATCAAATCATTATCTCTGCCAAAAACATATCAATTTATGTAATATAAAAAACAATTCCAAAATTCAGTAATTATAGAAAGGTATTAAAAGAGATATTTTCTGTAGAAAAAATTTATTTCAAAGAGAAACAATGAAATCGAGAAATTCAATCTTAAATGGAATTTGCTCATCCCAATATTCAGCAACTCTGATTATTTGTATCATAATTTTGGACACCTGAATAAAAAGTTGTTTCACAAACAATCCTTATTTTGTTGTCACTTTTGCTATTTTTAACGAGGAGGAACCCCTTGCTGGTAGAACAGCCAAGGGCGCGAGTTGCACGGTTGCAATTGAAATTTCACTGCACATACTTGTTGATTGCTTGGCTGATCTACCAGTAAGTGATAATAGATACAAATGTTTTACCAACAACACTTGTTAGAGAAATGCCCTGATAATTGCTAGGGTTATTTATATCAGGAAAAATATACATTTGCTTCCTCAACAGGAACAGTCTAACATGTCAGAGGGGAAGTACTCTACAATACACAATATATGAAGGATCAAAAGGAGGAGGTTTTGATCCTACTAATGAACAGACCGAAGAAATACATAAAATATAATTTTAATATTTGGCATTTAGTGTTGAAATCAACTGGGATGCGACTGGCAGCCAATACCTTGCCTTACATATGCAGTGCACATGCTCTGCATGCACAAAATATGTGCCACAGTCCACACACTACCAATCTAGTGAGGAACACATGGTTCATAACTGACAAACAATCACATGTTTCCTTCGTAGCCTAGTGGATAAAACCATCAAGCTAGTTAGCAAAGTATTGCAGGTTGGAAACCATGCATTGGCACAATATACAGTGAGACCCCGGACCCCAGACATCCGGAAACCTTGCTTTCCTGTCAATTTTCATTAAAAAAAACCCAATCTCTTTTATGTTATAAAAGTGAATGTCTATAACCGATATGCAGGGGACTGTTTCGGGACGGTAAATTTTACAAACCAACCAGCTAAATCAACACAAAATTGACTCACTTATCCGGTTTGAAGTGATGGAGCATGGACCAGACATGCAGTAGACTTTGATGCTACCTTCCCAAGAGCCATATGGAATCAGCATGAGAACACAGGTCCACGCTCCAACAACCATCTTGAAGGCTTCCACAGTGGTCTCATGAAGAGAATGCCCAGGGCTCACACTAACTCTTATCAATTTGTGAAAGAACTGAAGAAGATCAAGACAGCTGATAGACAATCCAGAAGGCAGATTGGTCTTGGTGGTGCCATAAGGCATCGTACTCGCGCAGACAGAGACTGAGTTGTCAGAATTGAGAGACTGAAGCTGCAGCTTGCCACTGGCAGAAGATCTGTGATTCAGTTTCTGGATGCCATCGGACATTTAATTAGACTGCAATGATTTTGTAGTGCATGATATGTAGATTATCTAAAGTTGCTACATGTATGATGTATGGAGTTTTTTAAAATATAGTATATCAAAGTATGTGAATTCATATATATCAAAATATACAAAACAAAAAAGACAAAGTCATCAATATCCCACGCAATGGCAAAATACTCTTCATGATTATGTCGAGTTATGATTATGTCAAATATTTAGGTGTGTATATAGAAAGGTGAAAGGAGAGTATTGAAATGTTTTAAAGTTCTGCTCCAGAAAGGAGCACTATCACCAATTTCAGTCTATGTCAAACTTGTTGCCATGGAAGTGCCAAAAAGATTTTATTCAGAAATCCAAAACTACCAAAAGGCACCAGTATACCACCAGATCTATGTATGTGCCAAGTTTGGTGAAGAAACATTGAACGGTTTTAGAGTTCTGCTCCGGAAAAGTGCACTACCACTAATTTCTGTTTTAGTCAAACTTGTTGCCATGGAAATGCCAAAAAATATTTTATTCAGAATTCCAAAACTACCAAAAGGCACCAGTATACCACCAGATCTATCTATGTGCCAAGTTTGGTGAAGAATTAGTGAACTGTTTTAGAGTTCTGCTCGAAAAGAGTACTACCACCAATGTCTTCAGAGCTTTTCACCTCTTAACATGCTGTTGTGTATTTCCAATGAAAACAAGAAGACAAAGTCATCAATATCCCTCGCAATGGCAAAATACTCTTCATGAATACGTCTACTAGTTATGGTTATGTCAAATATTTTGGCGTGTATATGGCAAAGTGGAAGGAGAGTATTGACTGGTTTTTAAGTTCTGCTCAAGAAAGGAACACTACCACATAATTCAGTTGAAGCCAAACTTGTTGGCATGGAAACACAAAAAATATTTTATTCAGAAATTCAAAACTACCAAAAGGCACTATTTCACCACCATACCTATCTATGTGTCAAGTTTGGTGAAGAAATCAAAGTAAAACTTGTTGCCATGGAAACTAAAAAAAAAAAATGTCAAAATCAGAAAATCCAAAACTACCAAAAGGCACCAGTTCATTACCAGATCTGTCTATGTAAGAAGTTTGGTAAAGAAATATTGAATGGTTTTAAAGTTCTGCTCCAGAAAAGAGCACCAACTCCAATTTCAGTCAAAGTCAAACTTGTTGTCATGGAAATGCAAAAAAATATTATAATCAGAAATTCAAAACTACCAAGAAGCACCAGTTCACCAACAGACCTAACAATCTGCCAAGTTTGGTGAAGAAATATTAAACGGTTTTAAACTTCAGCTCCAGAAAAATGCACTAACACCAGTTTCAGTCAAACTTGTTGCCATGGAAACGCAAAATTTTATTTTTTTTGCCTTTCCAAAACTACCAAAAGGCACCAGTTCACCACCAGACCTATCTATGTCAGAAGTTTGGTGACGAAATATTGAATGGTCTTAAAGTTCTGCTCCGGAAAAGACAAATGTGCACTGACACATGCACGGACGGACGGACGGAGTGCATTTTAAACCCCCCGCATGGGATAATAACACCTGTTTAAGACCCCGATGACCCCAACATTTTTTTTCTATCTTGAGACCTTGACCTTTTTCCTTTTCATAAAGTCCATGGAAGAATAATTTTGCATAATTATTAAAAGAAATCACTGGTGGAAGCGGTAATATTTTATCAAAACTTCTAAAATGTTTCATGAGAATGATAAATATTGTGAGTCCCTACAGAGCCGTTGAAATTATGGGTATAATAACACAGTTGTTCCACGTGGCAACCAAATGGAATGAGGCTGTGTCAGGCTTGGGGGCAGTATGGCATCATATCCCATTTGTTTGGGATCAGTGCTCATGTTTTTCTTGACCAGACTCAGTACTTTACAGAACATTCTCTTGTAGCTTAAATATTGCTAAGTGCACTGTTGTTTGTAGCTGTTTAATGTTTAATGGTTCACTCATCAATACATTAGCTGTATGGTTACAGACTCTAAATAACTGAGTCTACTCCAGGCATTTCAGTGACTGTTATCATGTGCATCCATCTAAGCAATTAGATACAATGATATATGTAGCAGCCATAAAATTTCTGAATCCTATGAATTCGAAATACAGACCTCCTGATGCCAGGTTAGACATGCCTTGTCCACATGAGGTTAAAACAAACAGTTTAACCCCTGTCAAGGTAAAAATATTATGAGGTCAGTTGGTATGATTATTATTTCATGTTGGTCATTTCATGCGAGTGAATAATTAAATTGCAAACCAACTCACTTTTCGTAAATCAAATTTCATTAACTTCTAAAAAAAACAGTACTGTAATTGCAACATGAAGTTTTAGTGTTCACTTTTTAGGACAATGAGGTTGTCATGTGGTTTCAGAGAAAAGAGAAAAAAAGTTATAAGGGATGGCAGAAACATTTCTTTTCCAATCCGAAACTAACTTACACTATTTCAACTGCTAAACTTCAGGCTTCTCATTACCTTAAAGTTTGTATATTGAATAATGAAAACTTTTTAGTCGTTTTTTGTAAATCAAACAACGAAATACAATAAGTCGTATCTCAAAGATAGATGTTTCTGTGGTCAAATGCCCCAAAACCTTGAAGCAGGCATGTTTCATTGGTTCCTAATCAGTAACTGAAGACAATAGTTTGTTGTTTGTCCTTTAATGTCGCATTCAGTAATATTCCAGCTGTATGGGACGTTGATCTTGATCAAGACACTATGCCCTTGTGCACACAATTATATTCAAGTCAAAATGAAAACGTCATAAAATGTCATGGACAAATTATTGATACTAAGAGACATCAATAATTATGTTTATCCATAAAGAATCAGCAGAACTACAAAATATTAACCTTACCTGTAATGATTTGGTTGCACACAGGAATAAGTACACAGTGGCACTCCTTCTTCACACACATGCCAAATATTTGCCTCAGAAGTGTTTCAAAGGCTGATGGAGTTATAGATGAACCAACAACGGCATGGAAAATATGATCTTGAGGCAGATTTCCGCCAGATGTTTCTGCAACTTTGCCTTGCACTGACATCTGTGGCCAAATTCTGTTCCTTTCAGCATCATAACCAGATCCCCCTGCTTTAATCATTGCCTTTATAAAAGGCCGACTATTCAAGAGTGAAGTATCTTCCCATGAAACCAGAGCATTAGCCTTTGTTTCAAAGACATCACTTTGGAAGATGTTGATTGAGACAGCATCAGAGAACTTGAAATGTCCATCGTTGATGTCATTGTGTGCAGCAGACATGGTTTCAGCTACTTGTTGATGCTTGTTACTACTCTGGTTTGAGTGATGTGGAAGTGACATACCAAAATATGTTCCCAAACATCTGTTAATAAAGTCTTTGTCCCTTTGAAAATCATTTCCTTCCAGAGGTGTTTTCCAGCTATGTGCTAACTCCTTTGCAATAGCAGTGACCATAGTATCACTGATATCCACAAAGTGAACCTCTCTAAGAGATCCTCCAGATACAACTGTATCAAATGTCTTCAGGGCTTGTACATACATCCTGGCACAGACATCCTGTGGAACCCCAAATATAGCTGAAAATACAAATCATAAAAAGGTTACAAGCAAATGAGTCTGTTTCAATACCTTAAATGACCGTTCTATGGAAGGAATTTCCAGTGAAACTGGGTAGATCTGATAATTTCAAGAGCTTTAAGAAGGTTCAATACTTATGACATTAAACATTTCATAACATCAGAGCTTGCATCTCAGACATGTTTTACCATGGAGTGATTGAGTGGCTGAGTGATTGAGTCAGTGGGTTTTTTTATATTTAGGAGAGAATCCTATTGTGTTTACATTTTGGAAGTGATTATTGTTGGTTGAAGGCTGCTAAATGTTTCATTTAGCAGCGTTCAACCAACTATAATCACTTCCAAAATGTAAACACAATAGGATTATCTCCATTCTACCATGACATATGCACCATGAATAAAACGCGTTTTAAATATGCACTCATTACCCTTGCGTAGTGTTTTGACACTACGCGCAGTAAACCGGCTCTCAGAAGTGGTTATTGAAAATTGTTCACTTCTAATTTATTAGTAACAGCTAATCAAAAAACGAACATACTTAAATGTCATGGTAGAATTATTATTTAACGTTGCATCCGGCAATATTCCATCTATATGGTGGCAATCTATAAATAATTGAATCTGGATCACACAATCCAGTGATCAACAATATGAGCATCGATCCGTTTGGATCCGATGAGATTTGTCAACCAAGTCACCTGATCCTGTAAATCGTCTCTCATGACAAGCACTGGTTGCTGAAGACCAGTTCTTACCCAGATGTTCATGTGTGATTGATTGATTGATTTCACATGTCTTTGAACAGAGTTTCAGTTACATCATGATGAAAGCTTAATGTGAAATAAAAGGGCAAAGTGATGATGGTAATTTTCTCAGTCATGGGCATGGCACTGTTTCTTCTGGAAGCATGATTGAGGCAAACTGGGACGTGAACTCAGGATCATACATTTCTAGTGCACAATTCTGCCTGATAAACCAAGGCACCTTAGATGATCCCGCCAGCAAACATGCAGGGAGGACTTTAAATAAGCACTACATTTGTAATAAATATATTATCTATTCGAAAAAGCATCTTCTGAAGTTTGTCTAACTCAATGGCAAGGATTTTCAACATAAGGAGTACGTATTCCACATTTTTTAAGTATAGGAGTACTGGAAAAACTTAAGAGTACATATAGAGTACTGAATGGAATTTAATGTCGTATGTGATATTGTGTTTCGCTTATATATGCACCACTACATTGCTACTCTTTTGTAAACAATACAATAAAACAATACTTTCTTTCAGATAAATACGTCTAAGAACGTACACCATTGCTGTGGTGCTTATTTGCTACTGTTTCTAAATTATTTCCTACCGAATGGTGCATATGTTTTATCCATACATACGCCGATAAGGCCCTTATCTGGAGCTCTGAAAACATTGTTTTGAAGAAATTTAAGAGCAAATTCAAACTTCAGAGCTCATACAATGGTCAAAGTTATGAATTTCTATAAACTAGATACTTTCAGACTTATTGCATAAACACATTGCTTTTCTGCAGTGGAAAAGACGTTCATGTTCTCAGGCTCATACCACCAAACACAAATACAATCCATTCACAACACACTCTTCCACATAACAGACCACTCTGGGTGATCCCCAGCATTTCCCAATCTAGTCTTTCTCTTACAGCAAATTGTGTAGATGTAAACAATTTGATATAGAATAAATCTTTAAAATATTCAATAGAAGTTTATCAGAAAGTCATACACTAACAAACTCATTTTATCTCACAGTGACATACTACAATTATCCCACAGTTTGGAGTTGGGTACAGATTCAGACAATTAGAACCATGAGATGTATATCAGAAAGCCGACACTGAATTCACCTAATCTTGCAATAGGAACAGTGAGTGAGTTTAGTTTTACGCCACACACTCATTATTATTCCAACTATATGGCGGCAGTCTGTTAATAATCGAGTCTGGACCAGACAATCCAGTGATCAACAGCATGAGCATCGACCTGCACAAATGGGAACCGATGACATGTGCAACCAAGTCAGCGAGCCTGCCACCCATTCCCATTAGTCGCCTCTCACGACATGCCCAATAGGAATAACAGAGTGGACATTTTGTAAGCCAGGGGTAGTGGTGACAAGCCTCCATATGCTTTAGCACTGACGATCAAAGAAGTAGATGGTAGTTTGGGGTACCTCTGTGGTGTATGCTGTTGAATATGGGATGAAAACTCACTTCTGAGTGCTCCATTGGTCCTCAGTGGCCTGGAGTTGGCACTTTAAAGCCCCGACTGGGCTCTGTAAATTAGGGATAAAAAAACAGCCTGGTACGCCTGGCCGCAGATTCTTGGCAATGAAACCCACACTGGTATAAACGTTTGTATAAACTTCCATGGGCAACTGAAGGGTGGGGCATGACAGCTCATCAGTGATCACAAGTAACTGGGATGTGTTTTGTACCTGGGATGTGTTTGACCGAACAAATTGTCTGACTAACACATCAGCATGTGGATCAACCAATTCTCTCCAATGTGTGACTACCAGAATCACTGCTAAAATTTGAAGTTGCTGATATGCTACTTGAGGGTCTTACATTTGAACTCCCCATCCTCACTTTGATGTATTTACAAAGTGACTGCAGATACTCAATTCGTAGAGCCCCAAAAGCACAAGATTGGACTCCTAATGTAGTCTTCTTGGAGGAAAGTTGCAGGAAGACCTGAAGAGGTCTGTTGTAATGGCCCTGCTCTAAGAATCTGACTCAAAGTCAGATGGACAAAGCTCTTCTGCCATTCAAAATGCCCACCTTAGATTTTGAGGGACCTACTTCTGGATCTTGTCCCAATTGAAGAACTTAAGGAGTAGAGGAGTATGTTGAACACACATGATTATCCTGAGAGATCTGCTACACATGGAGGGATAATTCCTGCGGAATGCTGAATCAATGTTGTTGGATATTCTCATGTTCATTTGATTCTGCTGGGAGTCCTGGGGATTCTAAAGATAATCCTGAGACATACGGTATGATCCCATTAAACCATTCAAATCCAAATGTTTATCCTACATTACTCTTCCATTTCTGATGGGATCAACTGATACAGACAAAATCTTGATCTGACATCCAATCCTCATGATCTATCATACAATGTGAATGTTCAATCCCATCCACCACTCCCAATCCCTCAGGTATTGGACTACGGTAATCGTATTGACTGCTACACTGATGGTGAATGTGGCGAATGGCTGATTGCTCACCATCCAATGGCATTCCCATATCATTCCTCCATTCCAAATTCCTGTCTGATTCTGAAAAATACCTGGAACAATATTGATCCTTGTTTGAGCATAATTAAGCTTCTTCACTCTCGTCCTCAACTGTCTGTTCAATCAGATGAAGGCAGATGTTGAATGTCATAACATAGAGTGGAGTCGACTAACTCAGAACCCACTACAAAGATTTCAACAGTAGATGCTAGGTTTTTTTACAACTGGATGTTGAGGTCTACAGTGAGCAAAGAGCCTGAATCCTCATCCACTACAAATGCAGGCTGCAACTGGCTGGATCTGATCAATACATTTGTTTTACAAGGGAAAATCAGAATACCAGTAAATCTTTTTCATTGGCGAGGTCTCGGCTGTCATGGAAATAGAAGAATAGGATGACAACAGTACTATCATCTCTGACTTCTTGAGATATATGTCAAATTCCATATAGGTTATGTGCTTGAATTCATCCAAATCTAAGGAACCAAGAACATGTTCCTCTACAGTCACAGCAGACACTGTGGGGGTTAGAAACTGAAAAGTTTGCTTGCTCCCACTACCTTTGCTCTTTCAACAGTCCATAGCACAATGCCTGAGTAACATAAGAAACCGAAAAGGTTGTAAATTGTAACAAAAATACACAAGAGAATAATAAAAAAAATATTGCTCTGGGATCAGACGTCACCAGTCAGCAGCAATACGAAAGAGAATGACTGGATTGGGGAAGACATGGGTTCCTCCTAGAGCATGCTGAATAAATGTAGGACTGTCCATTATGAACTGGTTGTGTTTGGGTGAGGTGTTATGAACCTGGGAACAGGAAGGATACATTCTAAATTTGGTTTATATGAAATATTTACACTTTACATATCAGAACAGACGTGATGAATCTGCTAAAAACTATGCACATATCGAACTTAATTACACTTTGAACAAACTATTGTTGAGCAATATCTAGAGCATACTTCAGTCCCTCCACCTTGCACAACCAAGTTCTTTGGGGAACTTAACAGATGATATCAAGATCGATGACAACATGGAACCAAAATCTTGTGAAACATGTGCAATGAAAAGTAACAATATTTTTAATACATACCTGCACTTATGGAAGGGAATGCAATGGAGTTAAAGCTCTTATTCCTGGCAGCACACAGACATCTCAGTATTGTGAAACATAAATCTCTTGAGCACAAATCTTTCATGGTATAATCTGACCAACGTGGTCCAACAGCATGAAAAATGTTCTTGGAAGGTAAATTACCAGCAGTTGTAACAGCTAATTCTGTTACAGGAATCTGTTTGCCTGCCACTATCTTCTGACTTTCATTTTCCATCATGGATCCAGCAGCTTTTGCAATAGCTCTGGCCACACCCCCTCCATGGCTCATATTCTCATTTGCACCATTTACAATTGCATCAACAGGCAGGGTTGTGATATCAGTTTTATAAACCTTGATGGTAAGTACAGATCCATGGACTGTGGTACAATGTGTTTGAGCTGTTCCTTGCTCAATTCTTGATTCAACCTCTGCAGCAACTGTTTTAATGGCAGCAAACCTTCGATTACCTCTTGAAGAAGTCTTTCCTGATCCTGTTTCATCCTGTACTCGCCTTTTTGCCTTTCCCATCGTGTCCCAGTTCTCAGCAAACATTATCACTGTATGCTTTTCAATGTCATAGGTGATGTACACATCATCATACCCTTTCATGGCTTCTGTAGCAATGGCGCCACCTCTTTGCCAGTCTGACTTGGGAACACGTAGTTCCTCCTGGAATATGCCCATAATTCTGTTTTGAAAGGCTTGACCCTCACTTGTGTGTCTGAAGAAGACCTTCCTCTGGCCAAGATTAGCAGGGTCATTCTTCACGTCACAGAAATTTGAAACTTCATCTTGTCCAAATAGATGGATCACAGCTTCTAACAGAGTGATTGTCATATCTGCATGTCCTTGTGCTGACGTCTGTGGGCATAGGTGATATTCATGTCCTTTCCTCTTTACAACTGTCTGGAAAAAAAATAATGCATATTGATTATGCACGTTGATTTTGTTCAAACTGTCCTTAAGTGATATTACCAAATGACATATGCTCTCCAAAAAAAGGAAATGCATAGGTGATATTGCTATATGAAATTTCATATATATTTCAAAATTATTGTTTGATTGTTATACTTCCTATTGAAAATTTAGATTCACTAGTGTAAATAAAGCCTGCACGTACTTCAGTCAACTGTTCTAAACTAAATTTTGCAAAATATTCCATACTGTTTACACATGAACTGATGTATTTTAAAACAAATTCATACCTTTGAAAAGATCATTGTCATGAGTTCAAAAAAATGATAAAAAAAGTGAAAATTGGCGAATTCTTAACGAAACTCTACACCAAAACTCAGCTGTTCACATACACGATATTTGCACATGCTTTTCTGCAATTTGATGCATGATCCTTGGGCATTTCATCTGTATAAGGTGTGTAGTTGGTTACCCAAGTTAGTGGAGAAATCAGTCTTGAATGTAACCATATATATATATATATATGCATAAAATATAGTGAGTGTTTTCAGTGAGTCTAAACTTTTAAAAGCAAGTATATTTCCACCATTATAAAGCTGGTTTGTGTACATGGAACGAATGTACAACACAAAAAATGCATCTTCAGAAACTTCAATGCACACTTACGTTCGAAAGTGTCAATTTACATGAAAATTACATGGAGAAATAGTGGTTCACAATATGCATGTGCAGTTCTGAGAAATTCTAAGCAGGTCCAGTTTGCTTTTAGATGTATATTGACATTTTTAACTAAATGAAACAAGAGTCATCAGAAGATGACATATCCCCCCGGCCCCCACATATTTGAAAGAATAAATAATCTGACAGTTACTTAAAGTCCAGCTTGACTTTTTTTTCAAGTAAGTCCAAATCGTTTCCATGGAAATCATGAAAAATATAAATGCCCCAAATCTGTATATAGCAATAGGAACCATTTCAAAATTTGCGATCGTTTCAATGGAAACCGGGACAAATAAATATGCAAAAAATCTGCCAAACAGCAAAAGGCATCACTTTGGCATCTGCCTAATATATCTGCCAAGTTGTGCTGAAAGATATTAAGAAGTTTGCCAGTTTTGCTCCGGAAACGAAGCCCACCCCTCCCTTTTGAGACAAAGTCCGAATCGTTTCCATGGAAACCGAGAAAATAATAAATCCCAAAAATCTGCAAATAGCAAAAAGCACCACTTTGGGATCTGCCTCCCATATCTGGCAAGTTTTGCTGAAAGATAATAAAAAGTTTTCGAGTTGTGCTCCGGAAACAAAACCCACCCCTCCCTTTCCAAATCATTTACGGAAACCGGGAAAAATAAAAATAAGAAAAATCTGCAAATAGCAAAGGCATCACTTTGGCATCTGCTTAATATATCTGCCAAGTTTTGTTGAAAGATATTAAGAAGTTTCTGAGTTATGCTCCGGAAAGGAAGCCCACCCCTCCCTTTTGGGACTAAGTCTGAATTGTTTCCATAGAAACCAGGAAAAATAAAAAATGCTAAAAACCTGCAAATAGCAAAAGGCACAAAGGCACCACTTAAGGATCTGTTTGATATATCGACCAAGTTTTGTTGAAAAATATTGAACGGTTCTTGAGTTATGCTCCGGAAACGAAGCCCAACCCCCTTTACGACTAAGTCCAAAACGTTTCCATGGAAACCAAGAAAATTAAAAATGATAAATATCTGTAAATAGCAAAAGGCACCACCTTAGCTACTGTTTGATATATCTACCAGTTTTTGTTGAAAAATATTGAACGGTTTTTGAGTTATGCTCTGGAAACAAAATGATTACGGACGGACGGACGGACAGACGGACGAGGCGTCGACTATATCCCCCCGCTTTACATGCCGGGGGGATAAAAATATCATTATGCCACAACTCACTGCTGTAAATGGAAACATTGCTATTGTATGTCTGGAGGCTGGCGAATCTTAATCTAACGTTGCACTTCACACCAATGTTCACCAGAGTTCCATAAGTCGTTTATGGGACCATGCTACAGGCAAAGGGCATGTTCCATTTGTCCAGGAAGCCATCAGCAATTACTTTCCACTGTTCAGGAGTAATGCATGGAGGCATGACTTTTGATGGGTATACTTTTATGACGGCCTCACAGACTTGTGGTATGAAGAGTCCAATGGTGTTCTTGACGAATAAATCTGAAATTGCAAACAAATTTGGCGAAACTTTGGCAAACCACTCCTCCTAATCAAATTATAACCCTCAGTTCCAGAAATACCAAACCCAGCAAGAAAAGAAACCAGTCAATTTTAACTCTGATAATGGGGAGGATTACAACGAAACGTTTTCCCTCCATGAATTACGTACTGCCCTAGGACAGGCTCACGACACTGCGGCAGGAGCTGATGAAATCCATTATCAGCTTCTGAAACACCTCCCTGACACAGGCTTGGAAACACTCCTAAATATATTTGATGACATCTGGACATCCGGACACTTCCCCCCTTCGTGGCACAATGCCATTATCATCCCTATACCAAAACCCGGCCGCGATCATACTGATCCCTCAAACTACCGTCCTATATCACTAACTAGCTGCGTTTGCAAAACCATGGAGCGCATGGTCAACAATCGATTAATCTGGTACTTGGAGACCAATAACCTCCTCAGTGACCTCCAATGTAGTTTCCGAAAAAACCGAAGTACCATTGACCATCTGGTGCGTCTGGAATCATTCATCAAAAACTCCATTGTCAACAAACAACATACCGTATCTATCTTTTTCGACTTAGAAAAAGCATATGATACAACGTGGAAACATGGTATCCTAAAAGATTTACACGAGTTTGGATTGAGGGGTAGACTACCTCAATTCATATCTCAGTTTTTAAATAACAGACAATTTCAAGTTCGGGTGGGTTCCACACTGTCTGACTATTTCCACCAAGATCAGGGCGTCCCCCAAGGCAGCATCCTGTCTGTCACACTTTTTAGCATCAAAATTAACAGCCTCACTAACGTTCTGAACAGTTGCGTTGATGGGTCCCTTTTCGTGGATGACTTCAATATTTCATGTCGTGGTAAGAACATGCATCGCAATAGAAAGGCAGCTACAACTCTGCCTTAACAAAATCCAGAAATGGGCCAATGAAAATGGTTTTAAGTTTTCAAAATCCAAAACAAATTGTATTCACTTTTGTCGTAAATACAAACCACACAAAGATCCAGACCTATCTTTAGATGGTTCTCCCATCAAGGTAGTAGAAGAGGCCAAATTCCTGGGACTCATATTCGACCGCCATCTGACATTCTTACCACACATAAAATATTTGAAAACAAAGTGCTTGCGAGGCTCTAGACTTGCTAAAAGTAGTCTCAAATACAGAGTCGGAGGGATCAGACCACCCTCCTTCACTTGTACAGATCATTAGTTCGCAGTAAACTAGATTATGGCTCCATTGTCTACGGTGGAGCCTGCAAAAGCAATTTAGAAAAAATAGACTCTATCCACCACCAAGGGCTGAGGCTCTGCCTGGGAGCTTTTAGGACCTCTCCGGTAGACAGTCTATATGCAGAGGCCAATGAACCTTCCCTTGAACAACGCCGCATTAAACTCTCACTGCAGTATATCACTAAATTACGTTCAAATGAGTCCAATCCAGCATACAATTGTGTTTTCAACCCGCTCTATGAAAACTTATTTCCTAAACTGCCAAGCCTGGTTCCACCACTTGGAATCAGGATCAAACCACACATATCTGCAGCTAAAATTGATCTCAACATCATTGCACCATACCGACTTCTGTCCTCACCACCATGGCAAATGGTGAAACCACAGGTCGATCTTACCCTCACCAAACTCAAAAAGTCTGAAACAAATCCCTTGGTGTTCCAACAGGAATACAACCAGTTACGTTCGAAGTATAACACTCACAGATCCATTTTCACAGACGGATCCAAGGACGATGGCCAAGTTGCCAGCGCTACAGTCATTGGAGCCAAGACTGTCTCCTCTAGGATCCCCGACAACAGTTCCATTTTCACCGCTGAAGCCAAAGCTATCTTCTCAGCTTTGACCTACATTCAACAGCAAAATCATTCCAAAAACTTCATCGTTTTACAGATTCATTATCCTGCCTTCAAGCACTTCTAAACGTGACTTCAAGTCACCCAATCATCCTGGACATACTAGAACTGTACAACGACCTTTCTACTGGCCAATATGACATCGTCCTCTGCTGGTTGCCGGGTCAAGTCGGCATAGCAGGTAACACTAAGGCCGATGCTGCAGCAAAAGCAGCTCTTGAAAAGCCCCTATCTCCACTGCTAATCCCGTACAGTGATATCAAACCCACTATCAGAAGCTATACTCGGGACCTGATGCAAAAAAGGTGGGACACTCAAGTAGGAAGAAACAAACTCCATGAATTGAAGCCAACAATCGGTTATACCTACTTGGGTTGCCAGTCAAGACGTGATGAAGTAATTTTACGACGATGTCGTATTGGCCACAGTCGATTTTACACATCATTTACATCTGCTAAAACGGTTGGGGATGGAGCCCCCATATGTCTCTCCTGTGATGAGGCTTTCACCGTCAAGCATATTCTGCTTGACTGTGTGGACTTTACATCTGCAAGGGACTCGCATTATCACGCAACCAATCTGAAAGATCTGTTCTCCAGCGTGAGCGCTCATCTGATACTGAACTACCTGAGGGAAGTTGATCTATATCATAAATTGTAACTGTGTAATGTCACTAACGAATTTACCTGCTCTTCAATTTAGTGCTATGACAGTCTCTGTTCCAAAATGACAATGTAATGAATGTGTGTCTTTGAAACGAAACCACTTTGTACTTACAATGTATATTAATGCAGACTTGTTCTCGTCACTATATGGCTGGAATAATGCCGATGTGACGTAAAGCCCAACTCAACTCAACTCAACTCAAACTTGACGACTCTGAAGGAGTATGGCAGGTCCAAGTAGCT